GCCAACCGACGCCAACCGACGCCAGCCGACGCCAGCCGACGCCAGCCGACGCCAGCCGACGCCAGCCGACGCCAACCAGCGCCAACCACAGGCAACCGACGCCAAGACGCCAGCCGACACCAACCGACGCAACTAGACTAACGCCAGGAAGCCAACCGACGCCAACCGACGCCAACCAACGCCAAGACGCCGACCGACGCCAGCCGACGCCAACCGACGCCAACCAACACCAACCGACACCAACCGACCAAGGGCGCCAGCCGACGCCAACTGACGCTAACCGACGCAAACCGCCGGCCCCCCCCCCATCCGGCTGCAGCTCTTTTCGAGACAGCAACGCAGACACATGGTGTAGGGATCTGGTTGAGTTGCTGGTGGTGCCTGGGAACCTGTCGAAGTTGGGAGTTCTTCCTTGCAGGTGATGGAGGGGGTGTTGCTGGGATGCTGGGTTTTGCGTCAGTTGGCGTGAGTTGGCGTCGGTTGGTTCGACGTTTCGAGCTGTCAACGTCGGTTGGCCTCCTTTTGCGTCAGACAGCCGTCGGTTGGCGTCAGTTGGCGTCGGTTGGCCTTCTTGGGGCTTCAATCTGTATACTACACTTCGACGCCCCCGGCGTCAGAAAGCCGTCGGTTGGCGTCAGTTAGCGTCGGTTGGCCTTCTTTGGGGCTTCAAACTTACTACATTTCGACGCCCCGAGCGTCAGAAACCCATCGGTCGGCGTCGGTTGGCGTCGGTTGGCCTCCTTGAGGCTGCGAAGTTACGACGCTTCAGCGCCCCGAGCGCCAGAAAGCCGTCGGTCGGCGTCAGTTTGCGTTGGCTGGCCTCCTCAAATTTCGGGCTTCAACAATCTACGCTATGACTCCGCGAGCGTCAGAAAGACGTCGACGCAAAAATGATCCCCTGACAAAACCCCAGTTTAAAGAAGTTCCAAGCACCATGCTCTGGGGTCGGTGGATCTTGCGGATGGGCCACACGTGGATGTCTGTGTCATGAGACCTGTTTGCGCTTTGTTGACATTGACCTGTATGAGGGGCTGTTTCATGATTGCTTTTTTGACTATGCAGGGCTTGGCTGCAGGGTGGCGCGGATCGCATCACCCACGACCCCGAGTTCCGAGAAACTGGCAAAGCTTTGAATGGACCAGCGCATACCTACTTACGCAGAGCAAACGTTTTGTTTGCTCCTAACTCCTCGCCACGCCCAAAAGGCTTTTTGCGACTGGCAATGCGCCAGTGCGCCCGCAACAATTGGATGTTGCAGCTGCGCTTGATTGTCGTAGCCTGCGCCGCACTTTGCGTGCTACGCGCCCGCCGATTTCTTCAAAGGCAGCTGGCAAGGCAATACCCTATTGGTTGGCCGCCGTGTTCTGAGCTAGATCAAGCAGTATTTTTGCGCGGTCATACACAAGCGTGTGCTGCGAGCATGATGAACGCCCAGTCTTGTCGCAGGCGCAGACTGAAGCAGTTCTCAACACGGGACGCTGGCTCAAAACCGAGCTTTTGTGGCTGCTCCTGCCAAATTTCCACCAAGCGGTTCTTTCTTTAACTTTGTGCCTTTTCAGCACGGAGCGTGCAAAATGGGGCTGAGTTCACGATTCTGTTTTCGTCACCTTGAAACCCTGGCTGCGACTGGTTAGGGTTTCGCGGGGCGAAACAGGCAACTTTGCGCGCTGTTGAAAGGAGAAACGCAACTTGTACCTACCAGGTAAACGGAGGCACAGGGAGCTCCTACAAGTCTTGCTCACCCTCCCCGTTGACTCCTACATTCAACCCTTAAGAAGCTCTCGCCTAGTAACTAGTGCGTTACATGAAAGCGAATCAAATGATGTTCTTTTGGGGCCTGGATCAAGCGCAAGACCCCGAATTTGTAATTAGTCCGGCCCGTGGTGAATCGGGAGCCTTAGGGTATATGTGTATTTGTTTTTTTGGTGCGGTGCCCGCGCGACCCTCTGCGGGGATCGGCGTGATCGAGGTACAAAAAATCGAGTTTTTTTTGGTCGGTGCCCGCGCGACCCTGCGGAGATCGGCGTGGTCGAGGTGCAAAAACTCGAGTTGATATTTTTTGCGTTTTTTGATATGCCCGCGCGACCCTCTGCGGAGATCGGCGTGGTCGAGGTGCAAAAACTCGAGGTTTTTTTTACGTTTTTTGACATTCCCGGATGAACCCTCTGCAGAGATCGTGCGTGTCGAAGCGCTCTCGCTGTGGCGCCGTGCGAAAATTCTTCTTAGTCTCGGCGAACCCTCTGCAGAGATCGTGGCGTGTTGAAGCGCTCTCGCTGTGGCGCTGTGCGTTTTTGTGAACTCGCGAAATGGCCTTTGGAAGTTGTCTCGTGGTTTGCGCGCCTGCTTTCGCAATCCCGCGGTCGCGGGTTCGATTCCCCCCTGGTCCGCGGCAGCTCCGGCTTGAAAATCGCAGCTTTTAAGTACACACGTAGTACGCGGAGCGTGCTCCTGCAGCGCCGGCTGGAACATCGCAACTTTTAAGTACGGACGTAGTATGCGGAGCGTGCTCCCGCAGCTCCGGCTGGAAAATCGCAACTTCTTAAGTACAAACGTAGTACGCGGAGCACACTCCCGCAGCTCCGGCTGGAAAATCGCAACTTTTAAGTACAAAAATAGTACGCAAAGTACATTCCCACAGCTCCGGCAGCAACTTGCGCAGAGTCACTTGCGCAGAGTCACTTTCGCAGAGCAACTTGCGCAGAGCAACTGCGCAGAGCAACTTCCGCAGACCAACTTGCACAGAGCACGTGTGCGAAGCGCTTGCGCGGAGCAACTGGCGCAGAGCACTTGCGCAGAGCAACTTGCTCAGAGCACTTGCGCAGAGCAACTTGCACAGAGCACTTGCGTGCAGCAGCTTGCAGAGAGCAACTTGCGCGCAACAGCCTGGAACAATGCAGCTTGCGCAGACCACTTTCGTGAGAAATCGCGCGGCGCAGTTGGTGCAAAGCACATTGCGCCGAGCAGACTCGCGCAGAGCCAACTTGCACAGAGCCAGTTGCGCAGAGCCACTCGCGAGAAGTAGCTTGCGTAGAGCCAACTTTCACAGAGCCAAGCTGCGCAGAGCCATCTTGCACAGAGCTAAGTTGCGCGAGCGTGCTTTGCAGAAACTGTGGCCGTCGTGTAAGCTTTGCTATTGATTGCTTTTCCTTTTGCTTGTAAGTCGTTTCGAGCTTCACGAGCTTTACTCTTCTTGTTTTAACAGATGTAAATATGTGGGATCGAGCACTGCCATGTTTCCTCTCGTAGGATGATGATATGGAGCTCTCATGTGACCGTACACATTGAGCATCGCCGCGTGCAGACACGCTCGCCGCAGCGATGTAAAAAGGTGTCTGCGCGGCTGGATGAGCACCTGGGAAAACAGGCTTTCGGACCAATCGTCCTCTAGTTTGATCCTTTGAGTTTTTATTTTAGTAGGAAATCTAAGAGAGGCAGTTTTTTTATCCCTAGTAAGTTTTTTTGATCTTCAGGAATCCATGTTTTGGATGTTTTTTTTTTTTATCCCTCACCCGTGCAAACAAGGGCTCACGCAGCCTTCCAGGGCAGATTCTGGGCAGTGTGGCGCAGCCATGTCTAGTCGCTTTGCAGAACCTTTGCTACAAACCATGATTTGTAGCCAGCCAAGGTTTCTCTACGGCGTCGATGCCGATCTCGAGGCAGGGCTCTTCGCGCAAGCTTTTCCGTTGCGCATCATCATCAGTGCTGGCAGGCGGTCGCGAAGAAGCAGCCCGTCAGCATCACACCTGCAGTGGTTTTTGTTGAGCGAGTCGATTGCGTAAGCGACAAAAACACCCTGCCTCCGCACCTTGCAGCTTGTCGCAAGGTGGCTCAAGAAGGGCCCCAAGCTGGTCAGCAGCTGAAAGGGGACTGAGCGTAGATCACAGCTGGAAGAAGCAAAGCACGTCATGTTTGCGCAAATTTGAACTGGCTGGAGAGGTAGTTGTCACGCGTGGGCCGGATGGGGCCCGCAGCTTAGCATTAAGCCAAGGGTTATGAAGAAGGCACGTTGTGGAAGCAGCAGACCATTGCTTGATTCTGTGCGCCAACGTGCTTGTGCAATGACCCGGCCAGGCCACGGCGTGGTACAAAGAGGCTAAAACAGGGTGAGGAACTTGATGCCTCTTGCAACGACTGTCGTAGTCAAACATCTGACCAAGGCAAGTTGCTTCATTGTCTGTTGCGCCTCCGTGCACGAGACCGCAGACTATTGATTTTCAGGCTGGTCCCTCGAAACGAAGATGGTGTCAACACATGCTTTGCAGATGCACAGTTTCTTCGTTTATTGCCTCAACAGTTGTCATTTTGACTGCTGCTACATTGAAAGCAGCAGGGCAACCCAGCTCCTGTCACAGACACCGTGGGACCCAGACTCAGATGTATGTTCTTTGTCCTGTCGCAGATTGAGAGACTGGCGAAGAAAGGAAGAGATGGGAGAAGAGAAGGGACGTGAAGAGACAGACAGCATCATAAACCAATAAAATATGCTGAGCCCTTCCTCTCGCCATAAAGATAAAGAAGCGTGCGGAGGAAGTCTATGACATATATCTTCCCATTCGCTTCTCTCTCCTTCCTTCTCTCTTCTCCTTCTCAGGTGCCGGAGATACTTGCATGGGCTCCCTGCTGTGCTCGTTTTTGGGCGAGGCGTGTTGCAGAGCCCAACAACCGCATGTGGCGACCAGCAATTCAGATTGATTGAGCACAGGTTTTCTGTGAAGCGCGTGACGTTGCCCAACCCTGATGTGACAGCCGCTGCTTCAGTTGGTACGAGCCGACTCTGGCGAAACATACTGATGAATGGTAAGCACTTTACAAGCGAAGCATGCTTAAATTGTAGCACGCTGCAACCGCATGTTGTAGTTGTGGCAGTCACATGTTGAGCACGGGCTCCCAGCAGTAGTTGCAATACTGGCACCCAGCAGTAGCAAACATTCTCGGCTTAAGGGCCGGTTGTTATCAAAGACTTTCTGGCGCCATGCTGAAAGATTGCGAACACTTTACACATGGCTCGCAGGCTCCTCCATTGTCAGATGAATGGCATCTATGAATGTGTTTCTCTTATGAGGCTTGCTTTGCTGCATGCCCTCCTTGAAAGGTCATTGGTGTGCAGAGCATTGCTGGACAATGCAGCAGTTGGCACAGATCCGGTATCACGATTGAGCCCGTTTGCTCTTGCAAGAATGGCACCTGCGGTAGCACATGGTGGACATGACTGGGCATGTTGGAATGTTTTTGTTGTTTTTTAGCTCAAAGCCAAGGCCTTCCGCTACTTGACAGCAGTAAGTATGTGCAGAGTCTATCCGTGCCCGGAGTTTTTCCAGCATTCTAGAACAGAGTTGCGTGAGAACGTGGCAAGGTGCCTCAAAAGAAAACCGCAAGAGCGTCAGTCTTTGGCGGGCTCTTTCTGCAAGAGCTGTCGTTGTTGCGCCCAGCATGCAACCATCAGCCATGGCCTCAGTTCCAAACCAGGATGACAACGCCAAGAAGCCAATGGTGGAAGCACATTGGATTGGTAAAGCACATTAAAGCACATCAACATGCTTCAATCATGCTCAATCGTGACTGCAGCATTTGTCAGGACATGTCTATGGTTCTGGGTGCTTTTGCCCGGTTGCGCTATAGAGATCGAGAAATGATGCTCCGGATTGCGGAATCCACTCCAGTAGTTCTAGGTCAATTTGGCGCCACAGAGATAACGCAGCGAGCCGGCAAGTGGCAAGAATGTATGAAGCCATGCGCTCTTGCCATAGTGTGGTGTGGCTGTTTGTGAGCACGTGAGGCATTATCTAGCAGCGTTTGCTAGACTGGATGTGGAACACCGACTGGTGTTCAACCTGTTTGCACGGGAGATTGCCAGGACGTAGCTCAGGTGCAGCGTAGTGTAGTTGCTTCAATGCATTCGTTACTGTGCCGTTGTTTGTTTTTGTACTGGCAGGACGTTGTGTGTGTATGTGTCTACCCGTATCCGTATACACATACGTACGTACATAGGTATGTTTATGCTATGGAGTATGTGATGTGATGTGATGTGATGTGATGTGTTGTGATGTGATGTGATGTGATGTGATGTGATGTATTAATATGTAATGTAATGTGATGTAAATATGTACGCGTGCAGGAATGTATGCAATGTATGTTTGTATGCATGTGTGCATGTATGTATGTATGTATGTATGTATGTATGTATGTATGCATGCATGTAATGTATGCATGCATGCATGCATGTATGTATGTATGTATGTATGTATGTATGTATGTATGTATGTATGTATGTATGTATGTATGTATGTATGTATGTATGTATGTATGTATGTATGTGTATGTATGTATGTATGTATGTATGTATGTATGTATGTATGTATGTATGTATGTATGTATGTATGTATGTATGTATGTATGTATGTATGTATGTATGTATGTGTATGTATGTATGTGTATGTATGTATGTATGTATGTATGTATGTATGTAT